GTCACCAGAAACAATGGCCACAAGCTGAGGGAGGATAGGTTTAGGTTAGATATTAGGAAGAACTACTTCACTGTAAGGGTGACCAGAGCCTGGAATAGGCTTCCCAGAGAGGTGGCGCTCTTGCCTTCCCTGGAAATCTTCAAGAGGAGACTGGATAGGCACCTGGCTGAGGTCTTATGACGGCTACCACCCCCAGTGCTCCTTCCTGCCCATGGCAGGGGGTCGGACTTGATGATCTGTCTAGGTCCCTTCCGACTCATTGATTCTATGATTCAAATCCTTCTTGATGGGTGCCTCTTCTAGAAGGCAAGATTTGCAGTTTACAGACTAATTAAATTAAAGATGCATGACTTTTAGTAAGCATCAGCTTACTTTCTCAGATGCTATGAAGGGATTGCAGGATATGTCTTCTGTCATAACTTCTGACATACCTATATCTTCTGTTCCATTAACAACTTCTCCCTTCCTCCCATCACCCCATGTTAGGGAAAAAGAAGCATGTACCATTGTTATACCATGAACACATTTACTGTAAAACAGAAATAGTACAACAAACCCACACTTTGTCACAAATATAAATGCCAGATAAAATAATAGTGCTTCTTTACCTCCATATGTAAAAAGAACAGATACTGAAGACAGTGGGGGAGGAGGCAAAGAGAAGTCATCAGATGTAGCTTCAAAGAAAGAGAAGCTTGGCTGAATAGATAACCAGCTAGGTAAAAAGAACAAGACCATTCAGAAGTGAAAGAGATCATTTTTACCTGTAGAGTACTTAGAAGAGACCAGCTAGATGATTATGGCCCCCTCTACATGTAACTTTATACAATGATTAACATGAAAAGAAGATTGTCTTTAAAATCTAGAAGAGAACTTATTTCTAACAAGCTGCTGCTCTAATTATATGGTCATATGGTTAGGGAAGTAGCATTAAATGAAACAAAAATGGCCAGACTAAGAGCTCCATGATCACTCCCGAAAGAATACAGGTTTCCCTTGCCAACCAGTTTTGAGTATCCATGCTTAATATTCTATATACCATTTTAGCTGCCACAGTATACAGTTTTGAGTAACCACGGTTTTCTGTGGCCATGCATCAGCTCACTGCCTGCCATTTTAAATCACTTGCACTCTTGCTAGCTACCAGTGGCATTCCCATCTCCTCACACACACTCAAGTCTTGAGTTGTGCTTCATGCTGTTAACATCCAGTCGCAGGTGCTCCACATTTCCCCCCCCCGATTTCTTTGTGATTTTTGCATTTTGCCCTTAATCATGGCCTCTAAGTAAGTGAGTACTGAAGGTGAGCAATTTGTGAAGAGGGCAAGGAAAGTGATGTCCTTGGAAACAAAATTGGAATTGTTGGATCGTCTAGCACATGAAGAGTATGTGGCGAATGTACGGAGGCATCTTGGTGTGAGCAAATTCACTATGAGCCATTAACAAAAAAGTGAGGCTACTATTAGGGCTAGTGTTGCAAGTGGTATACCAGGAAGTGCTAAAGTTTCTTTAAAAGACCCACTACTCAACAGTGAACCTTTTTTTTTTCCAACTTATTAAAGGTAAATAAAAATGATTTTTTATACACTGTAGGTTCCTTTATTATTCAAATTCAAGTCCCTAACCCCATTTTCCCCATAAGCCTTTTGTCTCACCAACCATAGTTTTGCCAACCACAGGAACGTTCAGGAACCTAACCCCCAATGGTTGGCAAGGGAAACCTGTACTAAATTTGTTCTAGACACTAGTTATAGGGGAAAAAGCCTTATCTGGCATGAGAATGGGTACATAGGAAGAATGTTGGTAAGGGTCATAGGCTCATTAGAAGGAAACTTCAAACTCTACCTTAGAAAGGACTTTGACAGAGTCCATATCACTAACTTAATCCGACACATTCAGATGTAAAAGTAACTCAAATCACAAGATGGCAAATTGCACTCTTTCAACTGGAATCGCTGCAGCATGGGGGGAAAAAACCCTTTCCCTCCATGCAAGATGCCTGAAATGACAAGGCAGTAAGCAGCTCAAACAGCATTTTTAGTTTATTAGTACCTCAATCAGTATCAATAATTTGAATAACTTCTGAGTGGTGACTAAAATGTATTAAAGCCCACAAGAACCATAAAAAGAAGAAAAGTTTACAAATGTTGACCTACCTGTAGGTGCAGGTAGGTCAACAGACTGGCTTTGATAAGCTCCAAAAGACATAAGAACATTGCACAATTTGGACCAATGTGAGATTATTAAGATAATTACATCTTTACTAGGACATTTGTTATAATAAATACTAATAGAAATATGTATATAAGCAGGTCTGCTGGGGATGGGGAAGGTACCTTTTGCAATCCTTTTTCTAGACTCTGAACAGAAGCTTTTAGTAACTTTTTATTCAGGGGAGTAATGAAACAACCCACTTCATATGTCCTCTACTGAGACATTTTGATGCAGAGACCACTTCGAGAATATACTACAGATTTATTCAGTTTCCAATTGTCATCTGTCTCCATGCTAATAAAATTCTACACCTGCAGGGTTACCCTGATTCTTGATGTAAGAAGGCATAGCCCGGTAGCCCATGTGAAACAGGGTCTTTCGTATATGCCATGTTATAAATATCAGCCCCTGGGGTGAAAAATTAAAGTGCAGTAGCATTTTTCCATGACACTGACATTCCCTAGCCATAAAGTGACAGAGTCCCTAGCACCTTCACTGAGATAAATAGGGCACACTTCTCATAGCTATTGTTTAAAGCTGTCTAGAGAATTAGGGAGGTATAAATGCATCTGTTTATATCACTTAACTTTTTAAACTTATCTCTACCATGATAAGAGCTAAAAACCATTTTACATAAAGTAAAAAGTTAAAGGAGGGGAAAAATGGAAAGTGGTTATGACAACCCAATAATTATTTGTGGTTGCACTAGAAGGCAGCCCTCGGTTTGAGAAAGTCTGAGTTACTTGATGATAGCAGTACAATAATTTACATATCTGTGAGTTATTCATCATCCAAAGAAACAGATTTCTAGGGACTGCAAAAATCTGACATAGCATTTATGCTGTATCTTGATTGGAAACAGAAGCAAGTTGTATTCAGGAATGGGGAGAGAAGTAAAAAATTCCAAAAGAACACAGGGTCATCACACAACTAATTTGCTGAAGTGTCTTCTGATATAGGATCTGGATGCAACAAGAACAGTAAAGAATTCTCCCAGTTCAGACTTTGTTACAAAACACTGAGATAATCTAGACTAAATATCATTAAAAGACTTACTTGCATCTTTACAGAACTATGGAGTTGGATCAGGATCCAACATATTAAGAACACTGTCTGAAAACTAAAATAAATGTTAAGAATTTTAGTAGTAGGTATCAGCTTTCATCATCCAGGATTCAAAGCTAAAACTTTTCTAAAATATCAATTCTACAGTCTGGAAAGTTAAGCAAATATAAGCAATTTGTTTCTTCTACCCTTCTCTCCCTTTATTTATACTGTCTTCTCAGTATAATCTAGAGGTGCACTGATATATCAATCTATCTGGTATCAGCACTGATAAAAGGAAAATTGACTCAAAAAGAATCAGCTTCTTTTGGCCAATATGGCTGATAATGTCACCAATAAATGCTGCATTCATGCGCACAGCCGCAGCATATGTGTGGCCAGGAAGACAGCCTGGCAGCTTGGAGATCAGCATCTGGCAAGTCTGTGGGAGGGGAAGGGGTGTGTGTGGTGGATAGAACGAGGCCTCCATGGTGAGGGAGGGAGCAGGGTTGAGGCAGCCCAGTCAGGGCAGAGTGGGACATAGGGCAGAGTGTTAGCCAGCTCATCCAGGGGGTGAGAAGAGGGGTGGCTCCCACCACTGCGCGTACCCCCGGGGAGCCATGGTGGGGCATGTACCCCCAGATTTGTGCATGGGTTGAGGGCAGGCTGCCCACTGCACACTTGGGGCCTGAGGCTGTGCTGGCTGCTTCCTGGCAAGGAGGCTCAGTCAGCGCTATGCTTGGGGCAGGTGGGCGGTGGCAGCAGCACTGGGATGGGGGGCTATGGGGTGGCTACAGTGAATTTTGGGGTGGCTGCGGCCCACCATGTAGCCCTCCTACTGGGAAGAGGCCGGTGCAGCCCTGGACCCTGAGCACTCAGCAGGCATTCTGCTCTAATCCCATGCCTTTTATATTTTATATTAGTATAGTGTTAACCCACACAAAATAAAAAAGTGTTAGCCAAGTTGTTTACAAATGGATTTGCTCAATTTCAAACAAATGTAAACCTAAGGTAACACAAGTGGGTAGATTTCCCTCTGGTCTGCACCTTAGCATTTTGGGATACAATCATTTACACTGCATTAGGCTTCTACAAGCTTCTTTTAGATGTTTATGAAAGAAAATAGCATTGGTCCAAACAAAATATGCAAAATAAGTGATCCTTTGTAATTACAGAGTTTATTTATATAGTCTTACTCTTACCTGTTTTGAGTTGGTTAAATAAAGTTTGGCTCCCACATTTAAAATTTGCAGCTTTACAAGATCATCTTCATTAGTGAAACTTTTAGCCATCTTTCTCAAAACATCAGGTGCAATTCTGGGGACTCGTTCACAATATTCTCCAATAAGCCAAAGAATGCTGGCTCTAGCCACAGGAACCTATTTGGGAGAAAAAGTTAAAACAGCATGTCACAAAATAGTGTACTTTAAACCTCTCATGTATATTTATAAACATGAACTTCCAGTAGCATATTAATTAAACAGTACTTACTTCTTGTATTTTATCATAACCTAGAGTCCAACAAAGATCAAAGTCCACTGGGCTAGACACATTGTGTGCATACTTCTTCATAAAGTCCTTGTACACTTTTAAACTTGAATGAGTTGGGTTGTGCACAAGAACTTTATGAAGACCCTGTATAATAATAGTCCCCACCTCAAAGAGCATTCAATCTAGAATATATAAAGGGCAGCACTGGAAACCGAGGTGAACTGACTTGCCTATATTCATTGTGAAAGTTAGTGGCACAAGTCTACTGAGATGCAATCCAGTGTATAACCACTGGTCTACACCAGTGATGCTCAATTTTTTGCTCCAGCAGGCTAAATGAGCAGTGCAGGGGTGGGTTCATGGGCTGCATCCTGGGGTCAACATCCAAACTGAGACCCATGTTGCCTCAGCCTGTCACACCCAATCTATCACATGGGTACATGCTATCCAACCCACAGGGCTCCCCCATGGGTCTGGAAATTTAGTAGCAGGGGAACAGTAATTAAGGCTGCCTGCTCCCCTGCTGCCAAATTATCAGACCCTTGGAGAACCCTGTGGGCTGGATCTGGCTGATGCGCCACAGATTGATCAGCCCAGCTATATCATGTCTTATTACAATATAATAGTGTGGCTTTGGGCATTATACCTCTCACTGCCTCTTTACAACCCATAAAGCAATGCTTTTCTGCAATACAGCTCTCTAACTACAGAGGGAAAACACAAGAATTTCCCTGGTTAAGATTGTGGCCAGCCTTCCATAATTTCATTACAACTGATGTTATAATACGGTACAATTTTTCAAGTCTGAAGCAAGGTAGACATGGAAGATGAAAGAAATCAGGACTGATATTATCTTTTGATCATTGATCTGTTGTTTTTTTGGTTGAATGATATAAAATGTTGGCAATTAAAAAGCAGTTCTAGCATGTGTTGTGGATCAGTGCTCACTTTAAAAACATGCCACTGCCACAGCAAGAGGATGCGACAGGCAAGGGACCTCAAGAAAGCAGTAGGGAATCAGAAACAGTCATACTGAATGGACTGCAATTAGAAGCAGTCACAAGTTCTATTGTAAACAGGCAGATAGACATCTCAGGAAGAGGGCTACCAGGTGATATTCTATGGGCAAATTCAAAACCCCTTCTATGGTATATGCCTCTCTTGAATTTCTCCCATGCTGTAGGATAAAAAGTGTTTAAATGTGCTTCCTGGAGTGAAAGAGTAAGGAAGCTATCTGGAGACAAGTATGTTATGAGTAAAAGCAAATACCATTGCTCTTGCTCAGCTTAGCAGTAGTCTCAACAGAGCTTCTACTACAAGTCCTTAGAAAGGGACTTATTAAAGTGTATATTCTGGCTGTTACTTCCTTCATAACTTTTGCACTTAAGAAATGTCCATATTCTTGCAAGGAATTTTCACTGGACTATTATGTAGATAGTTTAAACTGCAATTATTTAAACTGTGGAGTTTTTTGCCTTAAGAATATCCATTACATGGAAAAACTATATTTTCTCGCATGCAACACTCCCTGGAATAAAGTATACACCTAGTTTTTGAAAGACAAAATGAAGAAAAAAGATCTTTCCTTGTAACAAGTAAAGAGTAGCAGCAGGTGGGGAGCCCAGCATGTTCACTGTTCTGCTTCGTGCAAGTCCATGCAGATCTTTCTTACACTTTTACTCAGTAAGTGGAAGAAATTACTCTTACCATATTTCTTACATATAACGTGCTGTAATTTCCAGCAGCCAGTTTTTGGAAACAAAAGGGCATGTTGTATGCAAGCAAATATCATAAAACCAACCTGTGTTCACATTTTGTTTTTCGGCCTATACTACCCATGAAGCCCCAGCTTAAACATTCTTTAGACAAACCCACATTTAAATCAGAACTTTTGTGAGGACCACAGTACTGGGACCTAGCTTCGTAAACTCAAAGTTCTGCTTCTCAAGCAACCACCACCACCATGTTAAGCATGTGTTTTATTTTTCTTTCCAGTGATATGGTAATGATTTTGATATACTGCAAAAATATATGTGCATATATTCATATATATTATATATAAAAATAATTATTCTAAAGGTGCACCAATATATTAGTCCATATTGTATCAGCACCGATATAAGGAAAATTGACATCATCAGCAATCAGCTTTTTTTGGCTGATGTGGCCGATAATGTCACCGATAAATGTCCCATGCATGCATCCAGCTGCAGGATGCATAAGGCCAGGAATGCAGCTTGGCTGTTTGGAGAGCTGTGTCCAGCTGGTAAGTCTGTTGTGGGGAAGGGGCAGATCGAAGCCCCCGCAGTGAGGAAGGGAGGGAGTGGAGCTGGGGAAGGGGCAGGGTGTGGGACGGGGTTAGTGGCTCATTCAGGGGGTGCATGGGAGGGAAGGGGGGGGTGCTCCCACCACTGTCCACTGTGCATGCCACTCAGAGGATGCATGGGTGGCACATGCCCCCCCAAACTTTGCATGGGGCGAGGGCACGCTACTGCTGCACGCCGGAAGCCAGGGCCACTCTAGCCTCTTCATGGCAGCTGTGTTTGGGCCAGGTGAGGCAGCCCAGGGTGGGTGGCAGTGGCACTGGGAGGGGGGACTACGGGAGGGCTACAGTCACCCCAAAATTCACCGTAGCCCACCTCCCAGTGCTGCTCATCCTGCCCCACCCAGCCCAAGTACAGCCGCCAGGAACAGGCTGGACCAGTCCTGGTCCCAAGCACACAGGTGCAACCTGCCCTTGCCCCACGCACAGATCTGGGGGGGGGGCACATGCCACCCATGCTTCCTCCAGGGGTGTGTGCACTGGCGGGAGTTGCTCCCCGCTCCCTATCCCTGTCCAACACCCAGATGAGCCGCTAGCTCTGTCTTGTGCCCTGCCCCAGCTGAGCAGTCCCTGTCTCTGTCCCTGCCTTTGCCCCAACCCCACTCCTTCCCTCATTGTGGGGGCCTTGATCTTCCCCCCCCCACGTCCCTTCCCTTTTCCACACCTCTTCACCCCAACAGACTTACCAGACAGACACTGCTCACCAAGCTGCAAATCAGCAATCGGATCGATATTGGCTGAAATGGCTAGTCAATAATTGGCCATTGGTATCGACCCAAAAACTCTTTATCAGTGCACTCCTAAATTATTCATATATATATATATATATATATATACACACACACACACACACACACACACACACACACACACCCACACATGGAGTGACAGAATTGCAACAGGAATGCCAGCTCTGAATTTCTTATATTTTATGCATTTAAAATCCCAAGTACAGTATAGTATTAACTAATTCGTAACAGTGACCTCTTTCTTGCCACTTTAATTATATTATGTCAAAGACGGAAAATTTTAACAAAAAATGTATTTTCTGGTCGTATCACCATAATTAACTAATAAATTATTATATATTTAACTGAGAAGGGATACATATATAATTTAAAGATGTTTGACCTTAATGTTAAGGATGAGCAGGGTCAGGGAAGAAATTTAGCTCAGTACTCTGCTGAAAACAAGCAGAGAGGCAAAACAATAGGAGGAAGCTCCTTCATTCTGGAATACAGAATAAGTCTTGAGAAAGATTATTCAGAATAGCAAGTTTGAGTCTCAATGAGAGAAGAAATTCAATAGTGAGTTATTACAAGGTAATAAACAAAAGTAGACACTGATTTTTAATTATAAACATTCACAAAAAAAAGGTGAACACAAACAGATTCTTAGTTAGCTAGGGAACAGATGAAAAAAGTCTAAGATATTTTATGTTATACCTCATGTTGCTGCAAACAAACACCAACAAAAACAGAACCAAATGCATTAAAGGAAAACAAATGGATGGTGGCAGGACAGAGTACAAAATTCTACCAAAAAGCTCAGAGATAAATGCGAAGTCTAAGCACTGCAGTAGGGTTAATATAATTCCAAAACAACATCATAAGGAAGTCAAAGTCTTATGTCATAGCATATTTTCTGGTCACTGTGACAACATCATTTTTAAATTGTTTTGAACTCTACAGGATGATAGCAAGGAAAAAGATATTGAACAACTGCCAAATGAAAAAAGTTTTAAGTGCAACAAAAAAATGTATTTCTGCAATGTGGTAAGACTGATGTCATTACTGTACACTTATTTCACAAGCGAGAGAGGTTATTTTTGATGTTCCAAAGGTTACATCGCATTAAGACTTTACTCCCAATCTATTATTTTAAATTGGGCTAAAGAATAGTAATTGAGTGGTACATTAAATTTTCCAGTATGGGAGCAGTTCAAGTTGCCTGCTATACAGATAGATGTATCTAAATAAGAATATATAGGCAGCTTCAGATTTCAGTTATGCTAGATTTATTTTTCTTAAATATTTCATGACATGCTTGTTAAAAAATTAGAATTCTACAAGAGATCACCAACAAGCCCACTCCAGATAGTTGTCTACCAAAAACACGTTTTGCTTTATAAAAGAAACACAAAAGGAGAGACTCATGCAGGCAAAACATTTCAAGAATACTGTCATTAAACCAACAGAATTCAATTTAATGCCTTTCCTGGATTAAACATGCTTTTGAAAGTTGTAGCCATGGGAATGTATAAAAAATACTACTTTAATCTTCCCAATTTCTTCCTTCTGTTAAATTAAAACTCTTCATACAGTGTAACCCATAAGGCAAAAGATATGGCCACAATTTTTTTTTTAATTTAGACTATAAGCTAAACAAACAGGAACCTCCATCTGAACAACTGACAGCAACATCGACAGAAAAACAGCCTCATGAGTTTTTTCCCCCCTCTTTTAACTAAGGAGGCTAGCTTGCTATGCAAATACTGTCCATATTAAACACAGTTTTGTGCAATGAGGATCAATATCAATTAGATACTTTTTGAATCAACCCCTG